CTTTAATAGTAAAACAATATATTATACAATGAAACAAAAAAATAGAATAATCCTGTGATAACTCTTATTTCTTAATATATTAATTATTTTACTATGAGAAACATGTACAATAATATAATTATATATTATATAATATATTATATATAAAAGTTAAGTAATATATTTGGGGTCAGAAAATTAGTGTAAAAATAAGCACATTTGTGAGAGACACACCACTTATCCACCTAAAACCTTAAGGTGATAGGTGAGTGGGTTCTCCTACTTATATATGCTTAAATCTCCACATTCCTATTCAATGTGAGACTATTTCTCCACTTACTCACATTTGTTATACTATTCCAACACCGTTAACATATGCAAATTAATTAATATCTTAAGTATAATAATAAAAATTTGTTTTCAATATTTTAGTTATCTATATGTTTTCTATCAAAAAGTGATTTATATATTAAGAATATTATTTGCTTTTGTAAAAAAACAAAAAACATTTTCAATAAAAGAGAAAAATATTATTTACTTTTGAAAAAAAAACATTTTCTAAGAGTTACATTTCACATGTGTTTTGACTTTTGACTCGGTTTAGATTATTTTAAATAAAAAATCTGATTTAGTGTAAATCGATTTTCAAGTGATGTAAATTATTATTATAAAAATTCTAATAATACAATTGTAAACTAAACTTAATACAAATTATAACATGATATACTAAACATTTATATTTTAAAATAATAATGATTCATTTTGTTTAAAAATAAGTGATTAATATAATATCTTAAAATAATAAATGAAAAAGTATCAAAATCTACATTTAAGGTTTAGTTTGATCATAAAAAGTAACTAAAAAGTCAAATAATTGTTATAATATTTAGCGTTGTATAGTTTTGTTTTTATAGAGTTTACATTTTTAAATTGGATCACTTTGATATAGTTGTTGAGAAATAAGTGTAAGTTTTAAATTTCATGTTATTTAGAAAAATGAAAATTGAACACTTTATAAGTAAGAATTCATATATTTATCACTTTAAGATTTTGGATGAATATGTAGTGTCTCTCACACTTGTTTTGATGAGTCTTTGTCCTTTAGGTGAGTGTTTGATCTAATGTGAATGTTTCTCTTTCATGATGATCCAACAATGGTATTAAAGCTCGATCAGAGTAAGGGACCAGCTCCTTGTGTCGAAAGTCTTTCTGACATGGGGGTCAGGCGGCGTGTGTCCCGTTGAAGTGTCGAGATAAGGACTCCTTGTATCGAAAGTCTTCCTGACATGGTGGTCAGGCGGCGTGTCTCGTTAAGTTCCCATGACAAGATAAGGGTGTCTCTCAACGGCAGTACAAGCATGTGGATGAAAGAGCTTATGCTTAAGGGGGAGCATAATGGATGGACTCGCACTTGAGTGTGAGTGATATTGAGAAACAAGTGTGAGTTCTAAGTCCCACATTATTTAGAAAAGTGAAGGTTGATCACTTTATAAGTGAGATGACTCATACACCTATCACCTTAAGGTTTTGAATGAATATGTGGTGTCTCTCTCACTTGTTTGGGTGAATATTTGATCTTTAAGTAAGTGTTTGACCTAATGTGAATGTTTCTCTTTCATGATAACCTAACAATAATCACATATGCAAATAAGTAGATAAGTCAAAATAATAATTTATAAGTCAGTTCTAAACTATCTACTCTAATACAAACACAAATATATTTAGCTTTTAGATCTCTCTAAACTCGACTTTCATTATCATGTCGTTTCATATATACTTCTAGTAAATTTTTAATTTGATCTTTGAAGATTTTATTCATATATTACACTTGTGAAGACTTTTTTTAGCAACACACCTTTGTGAAAGACACACCATATATTCACCCAAAATATTAAGGTGATAGCTGAGTGAGTTCTCCCACTTATAACATTGGTGAGGACTTTTTTTAGCAACACACCTTTGTGAAAGACACACCATATATTCACCCAAAATATTAAGGTGATAGTTGAGTGAGTTCTCCCACTTATAAATGCTCAAGTTTCCATATTCCTAACCAATGTGAGACTTTCCCACACTACTCACACTTGTAATTCTTTTTCAACACTCTCCATAAAGTGTGAGTCTATCCATAATGCTCCCCCTCAAGTGTAAGCTCTTCTTATACATACACTTGTACCGCCGTTGACTCTCTTCAATGAAACACCTCCTACGAGAGTTTTCGATACAAGTAAGCTGATTCCTTTTCTCGAAACTAAAGGCTCATAATACCATTTATTGTTGCAACAATGGGGGGTAAAACGAGGAGAACTTTTTACTTTAGGGAACATTCCTTTTTTTGAGCAACACACCTATTATGAATAACGGCAAAGTTCAATTTCAATTTGTGAGACAAAGAACAGTAGCAACTAAAATAAATGGTCTACAACAATAATAATTAATATAATATAACAAAATATGATTAAACTGGACATTCTTGCTACTTTTCGGCTTCCTGATTTTATGTTTTATTTCTCTTTATAAAACAAAGGATTTAAGGCATACTTCAACAACACCTTTATGAGAGACACACCATATATTCACCTAAAATCTTAAGGTGATAGGTGAATGGATTCTCTCACTTATAAATTCTCAAGTCTCCACATTCCTAATCAACGTGGGACTTCCTCACACTGCTCACACTTGTAATTCTTTTTCAACAATCTCTCACTTGGATTTACTCGTTTGATTCCATCCTTTCAAATTTAATTCGTTCTTCTAGGGTATATCTTCTTCATCGTCGTCGCCAATGAGCTATGACTCTAAACTGGTGACAAAATAAGTCAAATTTAATCCAATGACTTTTGTGTGTGGCTTCCTTCTATAATACAGGGAAACAAATACGACACGCTTCTAAATCTTCTTTGAATGTAGCCACTTTGCCTTGACTCGAGTGATGTTTAAGATTTAAAAGAATTATTGATGATAACATACTTGCTCTTCCAAAGTATATTGTTCAAGTCCAAAGTATACAATTGTATACAAACTTAATATTGATCACCAGAAATCAAAGTTTCTCAACCCTTTTGTTCTCAAGTTTTCTAACTATCTCCATGGTGTCAAAGTCGTCAAACCCATAGAGGTTACCATTGCAGTAAGATTAAAAACTCCTAGTGAGCTCCATAGTGTTAAATTATTCGGTGTACACGATATCACACAAATTCTCCTGGTCCTCCAATATGCATCAGATGTTGAACCATGACATTTCACAGTTTCGTGTCATAAAAATCAAACCCTAGAGGTTTTCTCCATGCTAAGGTTGAAAACGTCAGGTGATTTTTATGGTGTTGAATTTCTTGGGGGTACATGATATCATTCAAACTTATCTAGTCCACATATATATGGAGGACTTGAAACCTCGACATTATGACCTTTAGTAGTATGGGGATACTGTAGTTTGGTACCTTGTGGATCATCCCCTCATAAAAAGACAATGTGGTTACTTCTTCTGAAATCTTGACTTGACCATCTTCCATGCTTCGACATAGCAGTCTCCTCTAGCTTAGCTTTCTTTTAGGGGTGGGTGTGGTTAACATGTATAGAGATTGCAAAACCCCGATAATGACATGAATTTCACCTCAATACTTACACCCCATCAATTTTTCCTTTGTTAGGGGGTTGATGGGTAGGCCATTCTAAAACATGCATAGTCTCCTTATTGTACCTTATATAGTGAAGAAGTCTTCCCACCGACTGAAGGTCTCACCGATATGGGTGATTTTTTTTGGCGCAACCATTTGTTTTTACTCACTGCTTTGACTTGATCGTCTTACACGATTGTTCTAGTTCTTGATATTTTTTGTTTTCCTCTAAAAGTTTTCCAAGAGGTTCCTTAGAAACCATTGACATCATGGTTGGAGATTAAGCCTATAGGTAACACGTGTTCACAATTCGTCATCAAGCTGGAAGTAGAATATAAATATTGGAGGATGTTTCCCACATACGATGTGAAATGGTTATGAAGGATATTTTCTTCTAATGTTGTTAATGATGGTGATGTTGTTGATGAACTCTTGTATGAAGGTCCTTTATAACACGTTTGGTGGTGAGAAATAAGTGAGATTTAGGGTTCTAGAATAGTGTGTATCTGAGTATGAGTTATTTGTTAAATTCTCTAGTTATACTTTGTTTGGGAGTTTGGAGTGGATGGGAAGGGAGGGAATCTAAAAGCTATTTAAAAATATATATATTTAATATTAAAAAAAGATTTTGTATAGAATGATAAAAAATTACTTATCATTTATATATTATTAATTTTTAAAATACTATAACAGCATAAATTATATTTGAATAATTAGTTTAAGTTATCCAAAATCCTTCAAACCCCTTCTCCAATATAAAATTTTAGTTCTCCAAATAAGGGAAATTTTGATTTTTTTAATAAAAATAAATCCCCAAAACCTTTCCACATAAATCTTTCTATAATTTTCAGTCATTTTCTTTTTTCAAAGTCCTTTCGTTTCTTCCTTTTCGAACTTTCAAACAAAACCTTAGAATTTCAAGTTTAAAGGATTTAGAACTTTCTTTGAGATGTCTCTCTCATAGAATAGGACTGTTGAGATCCATTGATCTACAAATATATCTATGACCGTCCTTTAATATCTCTTGCCTCATAGAGTTGGGATCCAATGTTTATAGATTGGCCTTAATTTATACCGAATAACTACATACTCCCTCCGGTCTCATTTATAAGAAAAAATTAACTTTTTAGATACATTAAATAAGTAATGTATTTGGACAATATATTGTCCAAATACATTACTTATTCAATGTATATAAAAAGTTAATTTTTTCTTATAAATGAGACCGGAGGGAGTATTTTATTTTTAAAAAATGACATGTCATCAATTTATTTGAAGCCAAAGCAAAATTGTGTTAGCTCATATGCTTAAAATCAACACAACAATCACTCATTAAAATTGAATAAACAATATAACTTAAGTCAATTTAGTTAAATTACTGAATTATGAAGTCCAATTTTGTAGGTTGCCATGATATTCTTAAAAACTCATTATTTCTTGTGGGAGAGATTGGAGGCAATGACTTCAATTATCCCTTATTTACACGCAAGAGCATAGAAGAGGTTAAAACATATGTTCCAGATGTAATCAATGCAATAACTTCATCCATCGATGTAAGATTGATTTCTTCTATAAATTATATTTAAGTATATGAATAAATTTCTATTTGAATTTAAACTTTCCAACCATACATAATTTGTATTTTATGTGTTCATAGGAGTTGATTGATCTAGGGGCATGCACACTAATGGTCCCTGGGAATTTCCCACTGGGATGCAATGCAATCTATTTAACAAAGTATGAAACCAAAGATAGTAACCAATATGACTCATTCGGTTGTTTGAAGTGGTTAAATGAATTTGCTGAATTTTATAACCAGAAGCTCAATGATGAGATACATAGGCTTCGAGAAATTTATCCTCATGCTAATATCATATATGCTGATTATTACAATGCTGCATTGCCATTGTACCAGTATCCATCAAAATTTGGTAAATCAACTGTCTCAACTTCTAAAGTAAATTACTTTCTTAGTCCTTAATCTTTTTCTTCTTTAACTTTTAGAAACATATATTTGAGAAACAATAAATTTAGGCTAGTGTGTGTATTAATCATGTGCTTTTGTAACTGCTAGATTTTTTACTATTTTATTTTATTGTTTCAGTTTTTTAGCAACCTAGTCAATTAGTGGTTGCTATAATTTAGGAGCAAGCTAGTAGTAGTTGCTATACTTTGGAAACAAATTAGTTTAATTATTCAATTCCCTAAAATCCTGGTTACGTGGGATAACTTTCAGTTTTTCCTTTCCATTATTTATTGTAACATTTCTATCGATCAAATATACAATTTCTTTCCTTTAATATATTGTTTCTCTATTTCTCTGCCACTATATTTGTTATTTTCTGCCATTAAACTAACAAATTGGTATCAGAGCCTTCTTCTTAGAGGGACCTGTGAGTGAACCCAGTAAAAATCCACCATAATAAACCTTGCTTAAATTCATCAAATAGATGGATTCTGAAACTCCTTACACAAAACTAGCACCGCCTGTGTTTGACGGTGATAATTATCACATATGGGCAGCAAGAATGGAGGCTCACCTAGAAGCAAATGACCTTTGGGAAGCCGTTGAGGAAGACTATGAAGTTCTTCCTTTGCCGAATAATCCAACCATAACTCAGATAAGAAATCACAAGGAGAAGAAAGCAAGAAAGTCAAAAGCAAGAGCTACTCTGTTTGCTGCTGTCTCACAAGACATTTTCACCAGAATCATGACGATCAAATCGACATTTGAGATCTGGAATTTCCTCAAGGAAGAATATGAAGGAGATGAAAGAATCAAGGGAATGCAAGCAATAAACCTGGTTAGAGAATTTGAGATGCAGAAAATGAAGGAGTCTGAAACAATTAAGGAGTATGCAAACAGACTTCTTAACATTGCTAACAAGGTGAGGTTGTTAGGTTCTGATTTTTCTGATTCACGAATAGTTCAGAAAATACTAGTGACTGCTCCTGAAAAATTTGAAGCTTCTATTACTTCATTGGAAAATACTAAGGATCTTTCAAAGATCACATTGGCAGAACTTGTAAGTGTTATGCAGTCCCAAGAGCAGCGAAGGTTGATGAGACAAGATGGTGCAGTCGAAGGTGCTTTACGAGCCAAGCACCATTATGGAGAAACCAGTAGAAATAAGCATGTCAAGAAGAACCAGCCATCAAGCAGCGAAAATAGTGCAAATAACCAAAACAATGGTAGGGGTAAAAAGAAAAACTACCCACCTTGTCAGCATTGCGGAAAGTTGGGTCACCCACCATACAAATGTTGGAAACGACCAGATGCGAAGTGTAGTAAATGCAATCAGCTTAGACATGAACCTGTAATTTGTAGGAGCAAATTTCAGTAGCAAACTGAAGCTAATGCCCAAGTTGTTGACCAAGATGAAGAAGATTATATTTTTGTTGTAACATGCTATTCGACGAGGAGTAATTCTGAATGCTGGTTGATTGATAGTGGTTGTACGAATCACATGACATATGACAAGACTCTATTCAAGGACTTGAAGCCCACTAATGTTTCAAAGGTCAGAATATGGAATGATGGCTATATTACTGCAAAAGGAAAAGGAACCATTTCAATTTCAACGTGTTCAGGTACCAAAATTATATCTGATGTTCTTTATGTACCTGACATCGACCAAAACTTGTTAAGTGTAGGTCAGTTGATTAAAAAGGGATTTAAAGTATCCTTTGAAAATCAACATTGTCTTATCTACGACACTGCTGGTCGGGAAGTTCTACGGGTTAAAATGAGAGGTAAAAGCTTCTCTTTTGATCCAACATAGGAGGAGCAGGTGGTCTATTTTATTCAAGTCAGTCCCACAGAACTCTGGCACAAGAGACTTGGGCATTGTCATCTTGAAAGAATGCTGAACTTGCAAAGAAAAGGCATGTCAAGAGGTCTGCCAATACTTTCTGATAATTTACCAAATTGTAATGCTTGTCAATTTGGTAAACAAATAAGAAAATTATTCCCCAAATCAGCTTGGAGAGCTTCTCAAAAGTTGCAGCTTGTTCACACTGATGTGGCAGGACCCCAAAGAACACCATCACTACAAGGTAGTTTGTACTTCATTCTTTTCATAGATGATTTTACAAGAATGTGCTGGATATTCTTTTTGAAATTTAAGCATGAAGTGGCTGGAGTATTTACGAAGTTCAAAAAAATGGTGGAAACTCAAAGTGGCTGCAAGATTCAATGTTTAAGATTTGACAATGGGACAGAGTATACATCAACGAAATTTAATCAATTTTGTAAAGAAGCTGGTATTGAGCATAAACTCACAGCCCCTTACACTCCAGAGCAGAATGGGGTTAGTGAAAGGAGAAATAGATCGGTGATGGAGATGGCTAGATGCATGCTGCATGAGAAGGAGTTGCCAAAAACATTTTGGGCAGAGGCGGCTAACACAACGGTATTTCTCCAAAATCGGATTCCAACCAAAGTTTTGATGGATAAAACTCCATTTGAGGCTTGGTATGGGTATAAGCCGTCACTAACCTTTCTTAAAGTGTTTAGTTGTGTTTGTTTTGCACATGTTCCACAGGTTAAGCGTGACAAACTTGACAAGAAGGCAACTTCGGGCATCTTTGTGGGTTACAGTTCAATTTCAAAGGCCTACAAAGTGTATCATCCTCAAACCGGAAAGATGATTGTTAATAGAGATGTGCACTTTAATGAAGAACAACAATGTAATTGAGAGAACTCACAAAGAACAACTAAACTATTTAGCAACATTGATGATAAGCATCCGGGACAACAAACAACAGAGTTATTGCAGGATGAATTAGAAGACGACCCTCCAGTCAGAGGCAAAAGGCTGTTATCTGACATCTATCAAAGATGTAATGTAGCAGTTTGTGAACCTGCTAGCTGCGAGGAAGCATAAAAGGACCAGAAATGGAAAATTGCAATGGAGGAGGAGATATCCATGATACAGAAAAACAAAACATGGGAGCTGGTTGACAGGCCTGAAAATAGAAAAGTCATTGGAGTTAAATGGGTTTTCAGAACAAAGCTTAATGCAGATTGCTCAATCAACAAGCACAAGGCCAGACTCGTAGTTAAAGGGTATGCACAAATTTTTGGTGTTGATTATTCTGACACTTTTGCTCCTGTGTCCAGATTAGATACAATTAGATTGGTGTTAGCAGTTGCTGCGCAAAATGGCTGGAAAATATTTCAGTTAGATGTTAAATCAGCTTTTTTAAATGGAGAGCTACATGAAGAAATATATGTAGACCATCCAGAAGGATTCGTGAAGCAAGGTGAAGAAGATAAAGTCTATCTTCTAAAAAAGGCTCTCTATGGCCTCAAACAAGCGCCAAGGGCTTGGTACAACAAAATTAATGATCACTTATTGAGCATAGACTTTGCAAAAAGCGTATCCGAGTCCACACTTTATGTGAAACATAAGGGAAATAATTTTCTCATAGTTTCCCTCTATGTGGATGATCTTTTAGTGACAGGAGATGACGCAAGGCTAGTTGACGAGTTCAAGCAAGAAATAATGCAAGCTTTTGAAATGACAGATCTTGGTCTCATGACCTATTTTCTTGGAATTGAGATCAAACAAAGTGAGAATGAAGTGTTAATTTGTTAGCACACCAATGAATCAAAAGGAGAAGTTTAGCAAGGATGATGGTGCTGAAAAAATTGATGAAGGATATTACAAAAGCTTGATTGGATGTCTAATGTATCTCACTGCAACAAGACCGGACATTCTATTTGCGGTAAGTCTCTTGTCTCGTTTTATGCACTGTCCAAGTGAAATTCATTTGCAAGCAGCAAAAAGAATATTGAGATATGTTAAAGGCACTATTGATTATGGAGTCAAATTTGATAAGTGTCAAGAATTCAAGTTGTATGGATTCTCTGATAGTGACTGGGCTGGATCCATTGATGATATGAAGAGCACTTCAGGATACTGTTTCAGCCTAGGCTCAGGAGCATTCTCATGGTGCACAAAGAAGCAAGAAATTGTAGCACAGTCCACCGCTGAGGCTGAATTTATAGCAGCAACAGCCGCTGTAAATCAAGCTTTATGGTTGAAGAAGATTTTATGTGATTTATCTTTGCAGCAGAAGAACAAAACAGAAATTTTTGTTGACAACCAGGCTGCAATTGCTATTACAAACAATCCAGTATGTCACGGGAAGACTAAACATTTCAACATCAAGCTCTATTTTTTGAGAGAGATGCAGCAAAGTGGAGAAGTAAACTTAGTTTACTGCAAGTCTGAAGATCAATTAGCTGACATGTTTACAAAGCCATTACCTATCAGCAAATTTGAATATCTAAGGCAACTGATTGGAGTTTGCAGTTCTTAAAGCAAGGAGGAGTATTAATCATGTGCTTTTGTAACTGTTAGATTTTTTACTATTTTATTTTATTGTTTTAGTTTTTTAGCAACCTAGTCAATTAGTGGTTGCTATAATTTAGGAGCAATCTAGTAGTAGTTGATATACTTTAGGAACAAATTAGTTTAATTATTCAATTCCCTAAAATCCTGGTTATCTGGGATAACTTTCAGTTTTCCTTTCTATTATTTATTGTAACATTTCTATCGATCAAATATACAATTCCTTTCCTTTAATTTACTGTTTCTCTACTTCTCTGCCACTATATTTGTTATTTTCTGCCATTAAACTAAGAATGTGTTTAAGGGTCCAATGTTAATAAACAATATGCTAATCTAAGACATTGATGCCAATGCAGGTTTTTTAGGTCTTAAAGCTTGTTGTGGGAAGGGAGGTTCTTATAATTTCAATGGATCTGAACCTTGTGGAAAACAAGGTGTAGTTGCATGTGACGATCCTTCTCAGTATATTGGGTGGGATGGTATTCATTTGACTGAGGCTGCATATAGAGTGGTTGCTGATGGTTTAATAAATGGACCATATTCTCTCCCACAATTTAGTAACTTGTGCTCTATGAATGTTAGCTATGGATATTTAAATAGCTAGAGTGTTTTACCTGATACACTGCTATGATGCCACCATAAAAACACCTACATTTATTTGGGCACATTACTTTTTTTTCTCCCTCCAATCTATTACATGGCTATATTATTGACGTGATTAAATATCAGATTCTCAAGCAAATTATCTAAACTATATCATACATACTTTTTAATTTCAAATACTAATAATATTTTTTATAACAATACTATATAATTTGGAATATATAGAGGTTATAAGTTTTTTTTTTCATGTGTAGTTTTGAACTTTGTAGCAGAGACATGATCAACTTTATGTAAATTTAAGATATTTTACATAGGGTTTGAATTGATAACTACTTCCTAAGCTAAAGTTCTTCCCTTTATATCTTGGTGTACACATGACTTAGTTGTATGACTTTGTTATGATCCTGATATAGTTATATTTGATCTCAATAGTATTGATTTATATGATCATGAAATTTGTAATATTTATGATATTAGAATTAAACACAAAAAAGTTCGATGTGGAAAAAATCATATTAAATGTGTCATTTAACTATGTTTATGTTTCAGGTCGACCGTATTAGTCATGACCGACCACTCCAAAGGTGCCACAATCCTTTTAGAATCTTCTCAAGACATGAGAACTATCTTACGTATGGTCATAGTGGATATAAACTTCAGGTGCATCCAACGAATTCTAATGATTCACACCTAACAAAAATAGAAAGTTTGTTATTCCCTCTCTGCATATATAGAGAAGGCACTAGTTTAGGTACTAATTTTCAAATACAATTTCAATTTACTCTTCTTTCTTACATATTGACTTGAGCATTGGAGTGCTAACCTTGTAGGTGAGTCCCCTCCCTACTGCATTGGAAGCTTAGATCCGCCATTACCTCTGATCCTTACTCCATTTCTGGTTCAAGTATGGAACAATGGCGTTGTCTGTAAGAAACGACTTTGATTCCTGCCTTTTCCATGATTTCACGGTCGCTCTCCGATTTGTTAGTTTGTAACCTTCTCAGATCATCAAATCGAGATTATTCAAAATCGAACATGAAGATATGTCACATTCAATTCAATTAAGCTTCATTTCAACTCTAAATTTCTGAATTTCCATATCTTTGATTCTTACACTTCCAAGTAATGGTTGAATCCAAAGCCACTCGTTGCACTGCTGCGTGAGAAATTATCATCGCTGATACAACTAAAACAACGTTCAATCAACCACTTCCACCTCCTCCAGAAAACATTGAAAATCTAAAAGCATAGGTTTTTCTGCATTTAGATCTAGTCTAGAATCCTCGTATAGCTGATATATCCAATTTCCTCCGATTGGACCTTAAATTCCACCTCCAATTGTGCAACCTGAAGTCTTACCTAGTTTTCAATTAGTGCGGGAAAACCTTGGATAGCAAGGCACTAACGAGCTGCTGAATAACATATATAACATCATTCAATGACATAATTTAAAAGCGATAGAAGAAAGATTACTTTGCCTCAAAGAAATCCTCCAAATGCCCCTCTACATGGAAACATCGTTCAATAAGCTTTATCAAGGAGGACTGAACTGCTGTCCCTGATAAGACCGCTATGAGGAAGGATGAAGCTCCAAAATCAAAGAATCAACAAAGGAGCAAGAAGCGACATAGTCCTCTCCAAAGTCTTAAGGGAGATCATGCAATCATGTTCTTTCCCCAGATCAGTTAAAGAATCAACCATCAAAGAATCAACCGAAGCATCCTCTATGTTCTCGGATCTTAGATAACAAAATACTGAAATCAATGGAGAAGTTTCCCAATCTAGGCAAGTATGATGGAAAGGGGATCTAGACGAGCATGTACAGCTTGTCAACAATTGGCTAAATTACTTTAGTGCGAACGAATCCTCCAAATGCAAGTTCTTTGCATTAATTTCAATCTGTCGACCAGGCTATGGTTCAATGGCCTGTCGGACGGGAGTATCGAATCATGGATGGATTTTTGCAAATAGTTCTTCATGCACTTTACTCCTCAAAAAAGAAACTTATGCCAATATCTACTTTGAGAGGGATCGTTCAAGGGAAGAAAGAGAGCATGTGGTCATATATCGATCAATTTACACAAGTTATTGTTGTAGTAGAGGAAGTCGAGGAAGGATTTAAATGCTAGATCTTTGAAGTAGAGCATGCAGTCATTTTAAAGATAGGAAGGAAAAAGGACGAACCACCCAGGAGATGTTGAGCATGTCTTAATCTTACATGATCCTAGAAAATAATTTGAACTCCTGCTTTGATAATCATGTCTTTGTGACACGAACTCTAGCCGCTTGGCAGGGAAGGAGTCTCATTGGCGGAAGGACAACTCTGACCATGGTATGCAAGGACAATACTATAAGTACACGCCAATGAATGCATCTCGGAAGAATATCTACATATATTGTGCCAACATAAAATTTCGGAAAGGAGAAATTCAGCCCCATACCTATCAAAGAGCCATCTCGGACTGACAAGTCAAAGTAGCCTATCATAGAATGCATATGGGATTTTCAAGCATTATTCTAGGATTTTTTAGCACTCTTATGTGACTTTTTACCCATGATGTACTAACTTCTTTAGATGAAAGAAAGTGAAATATTAAAAAGGAAGATAGTCGCTAAATTGGGAACATGGCTCAAAGAAATGTAGTGTTGACTCTTTAAGAATTATGCGCTAACATGCAAAAGGAAGTATACTTTATTGAATATGTCAAATCACTCACATGAAAGACTCAGGTCTTTTAGTTCCTAAGAATTGTAATGATGATACCTCTAAAAAGACGTTTGAAGTATGGAGCATTAAAAGCGTGAATTCCAAAGAAACTGAAACATTCATTTTTTCTCTTTCAAATATAAATGAGAAAGTGGTCAGTAGTCGAGGCTAATACGAAAAAGTCTTGCCTTACTACATGCTTGCAAGGGCTTCGGGGGAAAACTATTTCAAATCGACCGTATCAGTCCTGGCCGACCACTCCTAAGGAGCTACAATCCTTCTAGAATCTTCTCAACACACAAGAACTATCCTACGTATGACCACATAGGATCTAAACTTCATGTGCATGTAATGACTCTCAATTATCCGCGTCTAACAAATAACAAGTTTGTTATTCCCTTCTGTTATATATAGAGAATGCGACAATTCAGGTACGAAGTTTCAAATTCAATTTGAATTCACTCTTTTTCTTGACATACTGACTTGAGCGTTGAAGTGTTAACATTGTAGGTCATCCCCCTCTCCACCGCGACGAAAGCTCAGACCCATCATTACCTTCGATCCTCACTCCATTTATGATTCCAATATAAAACCGTTTATATGACAAATGAATGTTCTATTTATAAGAGCATTTTAAGAAAAATGTGTTTTCTAAAGTAGGTATAAGACATAATTATAAACAAAAGTGTTGCTTATTGTTGATATGTAACACCGCTTTTAATAGAAAATGTTGTTTAAAGATGATATATGCAAGTGCTTCCATATAACATTGTTGTTTAAAATTGACATACGAGGACACTTATAAAGAAAAAAAGGTTGTTCAATATTGACATGTAACAACATTTTTAATATAAAGCGTTGTTTAAACTGACTTATGGCAATGATTTAAAATAACATCAACCTAAAGTTGATATAAAATAGCACTGATAAGTAAAGAGTATGGTTTAAAATTGTACATTACATCGCTTTAAATAAAAAGTGTTGTTTAAAGTTGACTTAAAATTACACTTTTACAGAATAAAAAAGTATTGTCTAAATTTACACTAGTGCCAAAATAGATATTACTCTAACCGGATGTGTGACAAGCAACGAGAACAACAATTTTTAGGTAGTAAACAATAAGTAATATGCATATGGAAAAAATGATCGTAAAAAGTAGGTGGATTTTTTTTCATTTTTCATATTTCTTTAAAAATGAAAAGTAAAAATAGAGAAAAGTGAGATGAAATTTTTAACAAAAATCTTTAACTACTACTTTATCTGTATGTTATTATGTGAACATTGTAAATATAAGTATTATAAATAAAAATAATATTAAAAAAACGATGAGTAAATAAGATGAAATTTTTATCTCTGTCTTGATTTTTTTCTCATGGCCGGTAACTTATTGCAATGTCTCCTAGTGAAATTGAAAAATTGAATATCAATGAGATAATAAAATGCTTATTAAAAAATTGAGGTGAAATATCAAATAGAATAAATAGAATATCTTTAATTTATCATGTATAAGTATTTAACATGACCTCAAATCAAAAGCAATTTGAGTGCTCTTCTTAGATTTCGAGAGATGATATCATAGATCCCAAAAAAATTAGACGGATGGACACTTTTTGTCAACAAACAACGACTCCCCCATCTTTCTATAGCCAAAGGAAGCATTAGCCTAGGCCAGGAGAGAGTGAGGACACTGCTTAAAGAGAAGGATGATTTGAAATTCGTACTTAAAACAATGGCACTAGAGGTCTGGAATTTTGCTGCATCAGAGAAAAACTTGAAGGGGTCTCTTGAGGAGGTCCTCAATTCTCAAAAGAAACTAAAAGGATAGTTTTCCACACCCAAATAGGAATTAGTGGAAATTTTCGATCAGTATTTCGAGCAGGCGAAGGAGTAAATAACATTCATTTACTCTGGGTTGGATCTTACCTGGATAGACTTGTTCAAGGTGGTCTGTGACGGGTAGTTGGTGGATGACAAGAAGATATTGTCTCCTGAATAGTTTGAGGTGTCTCCTGATGAAGATCTCTAAAATGAACATGAGGGAGACAAGGTGGTGGAGGAGAATCCTAACGAGGGCGTTGATCGCCTATAAAATATTCTTGAGGAACAACAGGTTCTAGAGGGGGATCAATGAACTAAAGACTTAATTAATTTAGTGGATTTTTTTGTAATTATGCCCCAATGAGGTATTTTTGTAATCATCTCTAGTGCCCTTAAGGGCTTCTTGTACCTTGTAACCCCTTGGGTTTTATTAAATTACAAGCTCTCATGCCTCTATTTATTTCTCTTGTTTGCAA